CCCACATCCCGTTGCACGGCGTCTGCTGCCTCTCCTCCCAATAGATAAGAATGTCCCCTCCAAGGTCCCCTCCCCCCCCCTTGCGCAATGTCCTAACGCTCTGCCACCTGGCCGGAAGTCCCCTCCACCCCCCTCATCCGTCCTGCCCCCCGATCAGCATCCATGGGTCCTGCATTTCGTGGTGGTGGTGGTGGCAGCGACAATGGGGAGAGAGGCCCCATCCCCTCGGCCGTTGCTGCTCCAGTGCCCCTGTCTCGAGAATATAAATATGTATTGGCAGGGGGGGGGGGGGAGGGAGAAAGAGCAAGTATGCACATGCACACCCGGGCGAAGCGCGCATGCAAAAACCCAGCCACCTCTAAACGTGACTGATGTGGTTCAGCGTCACCCCCGGCGGGAGGTAGAAGTAAAGCCGCTGCACCTGGGACGGGTTGGGGGTGATGAAGTTCTGGTGGTTGTTGGTGTCCATCAGAATCTCCAGCGCCGAGCCGGACTGCTGCGACGCGCCGACCGTGGTCAAGCGCAGATCCTCCAGCAGGCTCGGATCCACCGAGTGCTGGATGTCTACCCGGTCGCGGACCAGCAGCAGGTGGAGGATCTGCCGCTGATTCAGCAGCGGCGACTCATCGACAATGGCCTCGATGTCGGTGGAGTACTTGACCTGGAGCTTGCACACCTGCAGGGCCTGCAGCAGGGGCAGGAAGTGGAAAACAATGTCATTGAAGCCCTGCTTGACGCACCAGCGCCGGAGAACTTCGACATTCTCCCGGATGTGGATCGACTGCATGGAGGAGCAGTACTTGCCCTCGCGCATCATGGTATTGAAGAGCTCGGTGGTCACGCTAAAGACCACGGCACTGACAAACTGCTGGGTGACCGAGTCGTCGATGTGGAACTTCTGGAAGCAGCCAATGAACTCCGACCAGAGGGTGGTGATGGTGCTCGGGGCCAGCCGCTGCGTGGCGGCCGGGCTGCGGAAGAAGCCGAAGCCGCTGGGCCGGGCCGCCGCCGCCGCCGACTCCTGGTAGTCCAGCACCGCCGGGACCAGCACCGGCCGGACGCGCTCCTGGAACTTGGCCACCACAAATTGGAAGACCTTGCTACAGAGGTTGCCCAGCTCCTGGGTAATTTGCCGGACAATCTTGTTGGCGATCTGCGCCAAGTTCGGGGCCAGTGTCCGGACGAAGGGCCGCAAGCAGAGCGTCAAGTTGTAGAGGGCCAGCGAGTTGGCCAGCCAAAAGACATGGGTCCGGACCGTGGCCCCGGAGTCGACATTGGCCTTGAGGATGTGGTGCACGACATCGGTACTGAAGTTGGTCAGGCGCTTGCTCTCGCCGGACATGAGCAAAGCCGAGAAGATGATGCCGATCATGTTCGACGGGTAGAGGATGCTCTCCGGGGGGATGGTCCCGGAGCCGCCCTCGGCCGACAGGGTCGGAATCGGGGCATTGGTGATGAGCTTCTGCGAGATCTCCCGCTCCAGCTCGCTGGTCATGATGAGGTTCACCTGGTTGGTGACATCCTTCAGCTCGATCCAGCAGGGGGAGAGCGACCGCACGGCGGCGGCCATCTGCGCCGTGAACAGGAGCTTGGCATTGGCCCGGGCCTCGGCGGCACGCTCCTCCGCCGTCTGCTCCGGCTCCAGGGCCTTGTCCACCAGGGCCGAGATGTCCACCAGCGACGGCGAGTCGGTCATGTCCAGGAGCGAGGGCTCCGGCTGGCCGAGTGCGGCGCCGCCGCCGGCGCCCCCGTCCGACGGACCCTCCGACAGGGTGGGCGTCGAGTCGTCGGCCGAGGCCGCGGGCTCCGGTACCATGGTCACCAGCATGGTGCCCTCCGGCTGGATGGGCTTCTCCAGCAGGAGCGGCTCCACCAGGGGATCGCACTCGGCCGGGCGGTATTGGATATACTGAAAGGGGGCCACGCATGGCACAGGGCCAGGGGGGGGGGGGGGGTCAGCCAGGTGATGGGACTAGGAGGGACAACAGAGTCCAGCATGTGTCAGATGTCCCGACTGGCGGGCAATCCATCGCCATTGCTTGGGCCAGGAGGGGGAAAAGAAAAGCAAGAAGGGCGAGCAAGGAAGAGGCGCGAGCAAGGAAGAAGGACGGGCAAGAAGGAAGGACGAGCAGGCACATACCCCAATCAGGATCTCCAGCTGCTGGCGCAGCAGGTCCGCCTCGTCCGACAGGGCACTGGTCTCGCTGGCATGGCGCTGGGTCTGCTCGGCCAGCTGTTGGCGCAGGGACTCGACCAGGGCCTCAGCGGCGGCCAGGCGGCCCTGGGTGTCAGCCAGGCGGGCGGCCTCCTCGTCGGCGGCCTTCTGCGCGGCGGCAGCGCGCTCGGCCTCCTGCTGGCGCAGGGCCTCGGCCTGCTCGGCGGCCTTGGCCGCGGCCTCGGCCTCGGCCCGGGCAATGGCCTCGGCCTGGGCCTGGCGCAGGCGAGCGGCCTCCTCGGCGGCGGCGCGCTCGGCCGCCGCACGGGCCTCCTCCTCCCACTGGCGACGCTCGCGTTCGCGTTCGCGCTCGCGCTCGCGCTCCAGACGCTCGGCTTCCTGCTGCAGGCGCTCGCGCGCCTGCTCGAGCTCGCGCTCACGCCGGCGCGCCTCGTCCTCTCGCGAGGCCAGCTGCTGGCTCAGCTCCAGCACCTTGCGCTCCATGTTGAAGGACTTCTCCTTGATCTTGGAAATGTCCCGAGCCTCCATGCGCAGGGCACGCAGGGCCTGCCGGGCCACCCGCCGGCGCCAGAGATTCTGCACCAGGATGATCTGCCGACGCTCGCGCAGATACTGCCGGCGAGCCAGCCACCCGCGCACGGCCGCCTGGATCATGACCGCCTTGCGGAATTGCCGGATCGACTGCCGCAAGGTCAGGGAGAAGTAGTAGCGGGCGGCCATTTGCAGCTGCTCCACTGCCTGGCGCTGGGCCAGGAAGCGCCGCCGGCACACCTTCCGCAGGATGTACCGGCGCACGGTGGCCAGGGCACGCTCCCGACGGAGGTTGGCATAGAGACGCCGGGCCTGAAGACCACGGAAGACTGCGTGTGCATCATCGCGGGCAGGCACCGAAAGGACGGGTGAGTCACATGTGAATGGTGGCGGCCACCTGGCCGCGGCCGCCCTCGCCCTTGCTGCTCCCCGGCAGCAGCGACCCCCGAGGGGGAGGGGAGAGGCAGCCAGTATGACAGGGAAGGGGAGGGGGGGGGGCGAAAAAGGGGCAAAGAGCAAAAGCCAAACCAACACCGGGGGAATCAAAAAGCAACGAAGTGGTGCGGAGGGGGGGGGGGGGGGGGGGTATGGCCACGTACGACGCTGGGCATGAATCGCCGCCGGGCGCAGTCGAACATAGTGCGCGCGCGCCAGGAAGCCGCGGACCATGCGCTGAATGTTGACGGCCGCGCGCTTCAACTTGTCGGAGCGCATCTTCTCCAAGATGGCCAGCTGGCCGGCGCGCAGGAAGACCTTGGTCTTGCCGACACGATACTTGTCCGCGCCCTCGGCATCGTCGCCGAAGGCCAGCCGCAGCAGGTCGCCGGTGATGGTGCGCATGTCGGCCAGCGCCGGGGTCCGCTTACCGAACCACCGGTCGCTCGACAGCAGAAGCTGGTACCGGTCGGTGAACTCGGAGAAGTCACCACGCGAGGGGAACCCCGCGGCACTGATCTTGATGGTCTCCAGCACACCGCACGCGCGCAGCTGCTGCAAAACCATGGCCGAGTCGAAGACAAATGCGGCCTTCTGCTCGTTGGGCTTGATGCAGCGGATGTAGTGCGACGTCGTGCCGCGAATGGTGGTCATCAAGTCATTGAGGGAGTTCTGTGACGGCCGAGCCGAAGGCCGAGGGGGCGGCAGCCGGGGGACGAGGAGGGGGAAGGGGGGCCCCAAGTGAAAAAGGCACACGCAAGGGCCAGCACGAAATGGTCAGGCTCCAGGGCAAACACGAGGCAGCGCGGCTGGCCGCGGGCGCGGGCGCCGGCGCGGGCGCGGACGGGCAAGATACGGCGCCGGCAGGCGGCCGCCGGCACAGGAAACGCCCAAAGGCGTGCGCACCTTGAAGATGGACCCGAGTGTCAGCTTGTTGGCCGATGCCAGGCCGCCACGGCCATTGGCCGGGGCCGCGACCACCAGGCCGTCCGACCCGTCGCCCTTGGTCACCAGCTGCACGTACGAGTCGCTGGAGGCCAGAAGCAGCTCCAGCAGCTCGTCGGTCACGGTATCGCGGTTCTTCTCCAGGAAGCCCTTCGTGTCGTAGGTCACCGGCTGGGCATAGTGCGCCACGATGAAGGAGTCATCGCCACCGCCGAGGCGCTGCTTGGACAGGTGATTCGGGAAGGCGGCCCCGCATTGCTCATGCAGCTTCATGGTAAAGGCGGTGTCACTGCCGCGCGCCAGTCGGCACTGGTCATCCAGCAGCGACAGGATGCCGAACTTGCCCTCGATCAGCTCGATGCAGGGCTTGTTGTCGGCATAATTGATGTACGTCCACTCGATCTCCTCCTTGACGTAAATCTGTCCGAGGGTCCGCCAGCAGCGGGGTAGGTGGGGGGGGGGGGGGGGGGGGGGGGGGGGAGAGAGGGTGTCGGAGCCGGAGGGGAGGGGCGAAAGGGAGAGGCCGAGTCAGCAGGCAGGGAGGCCCACAGCCGGGGGAGCGGGAAAAGGGGAGGAAGAACAAGAGGCATGGGCCAAAGCCATGGACACGCACCTCCTGCTCCAGCTTGAAGACATGCTGCACGAATTCCTGCTGCAGCTTCTCGTTGGCGTAGTTGATGCAGAACTGCTCGAAGGAGTTGACCTTGAAAATTTCGAACCCATAGATATCCAGCAGGCCGACAAAGCGCCGGTTGGCCGCGGCCTTGCGGCGCTCGGCGGCGCTGAGCTTCTTGCCGCTGGCGTCGGTGGCATTCGCCGGGATGCCGATCGCCTGGTTGATGAAGCCAATCAGCCAGTCGAAGAGCCGGGCGTAGAGGAACTTGGCCAGGGCATCGCGCGCCGCCAGGGCGTCCACCAGGGTCCGGGGGCTGACAATGGTCTCGCCGACGGTGTGAATGCGTCGCGAGATCAGCCACTTGGCCAGCAGGGCCCGGTCCACCCCGAGAAGCTCGCAGGCCCGAGCCAGGGGCGACTCGGCCGAGGTATCGGTGATGGAGGCCTTGTCATCGCGAACGGAGGGCGAAGTAAACTCCACATTGCCTGTGTGTCATTCGTCGGTCCGAGTTCATGTGGCAAGCAGGGGGGGGGGGGGGGGGGGGGGGGGAGGGGGGGGGGGGGGGGGGGGGGGGGGGGGGGGGGGGGGGGGGGGGGGGGGGGGAGAGAGGAGGAAACCAGGAGCACATGCGTACCTCGACGTAGAGGCTGAAGGCGAGATCGGCCCGTGGTGAGCCGGGGGCCGTCTTGGCGGCGAGCTGTGTCATGGCGACTCGCACGGGCACAACCGAGGAGGAGGAGGCTGCGCGGGAGGAGAGAGGCAGAGAGGGGAGGAAAGAGGGCACCGACCGGCGGGGAGGGGG